GTCACACATCCACGGCCAATCCCCCATCTCAGAGACCCTACCGCTCTTCTGATTGGCTGTGGATCAGGACATTCAATGGCACTATGCAGTTTGAAGAGCAAATGAGGATTCAGCAAGCTGAACAGGTTTGAGCGTTTGGCTCTCAGTCTGTGACAAAGACTGTTTGCTTACGTTACGGTTTTAATTAATTATTCAGAAAGACTCGGTTAAGCCATTAAAGGACAGATTTTCGATCAAAGTCTTAGAAATGCAAATTCTACCCACGACGGATGCACATATTATGATATTGGGAAGCGCCCAAAATAAACATTTTTAGAAACAAGAACACTAGGTCTATTTGCAGCTTCATGCAAATATTCATCACTTAAATGAGATTTATTTTAGAGGCATATTCTACATTTTAAAACAGTGAATGTTAACGTTTGGCTGATATATTGGTCATTAAGGAATAGTAGAAATACAAATTCTCACTCTCATTATGTATTATATGGCTTTTTTTCTCCCAGTGCATTCACTGATGTATCTATGGTGCATTCGCAACCACTGAAAAAGACTGGAATTCAATGAGAACAGACAAATTCAATCAGATGTTCATTCTCTGGATGAGTTTAACAATTCACTGCTGAAATGGCCATTCATGCTTCCTTTGCTGTGACAGACGGTCAAGGATCATTTCCTCTGACCTTTTACCTCACAGTGACAGAGAATACCCTTAAATAACATTCACTGTAGAGCCATTAACTGAAACAGATTTACTGCTTTGAAGTGACCTGTCTGAAAGCACTCAATCTCCCAGAATACCCTGTGATGGGGCAATCACTTGATCCCAGAGTGATAATCTTTTATTTTAAAAAGTGGTACTATTTACAACAGGATCTGCATTTTCATGGGTTTAAATAAAATATTTTTGATTTAAGATACAATAAAAACAACTTTGTGCATCAAAGCCACTCCTTTCCTGGTAAAAAAAAAAAATAGAACTTGATTTTCAGAAGTCAACAAATTTGCGACAGCTGAAAGTAACTTTTTGTCTGTCAAAAAATAACATGCACAATACATGGTAGGTAGTATAGCCCGCTACAGGATTTTTGACCTCGTCATCACTTGAAGCCTGAGTGGCTTCAACATGCTGTCTGTCAGAGACGTAACATACCTAATACGTAACGCACATGAGAATAAATGTACTCTTCACTCGTTGAGACTGACCGGTATTTTTTATAAAACGTAGTACTGTTAACGTGTTTTATGAAATGTTTTATAATTATTTTTGCATTTAATTAGTCAAATATGTATGTTCATGCAACTACTAGTATTTTTGTATCTGCACTGCCTTAAAACAAAGCTTGAAAAACCCACAAAATGCACAGAATCTGTGTTAGTGCTTTTTATTATCACTATTTAGTTTTCATTGCTTTTTTTTATTCTCTCTTCAGAAAAAGACACAAAATTGCCTTAACATGTCAACTCAAACCATCAATGACAGCACCACCTGGTTTTAGATAACTATCCATACTTTGCACTGCAATGTGGTGAAAAACACAAGGACGTCTCACAAAACAGCACAAACGTTTGGGATGCAGCCTTTTGCAAGGAAGTTTACTGTGTCCAAAAACTATGCAGTCATAAAGGCTGTGAACCTTTGGAGGCTTATTCATATATATTTTTATTACATACTGTTGTTTGTGCTCTGATGTGGTTGGGTCTTTGAACAGTCCAGCATATTGTATGGAAATGACCCAACATGGACATTTCCCATGATACAACTGGCAGTGCGCTAGTTTGGTCCCAAAGAATTGGGTTTACTTCACATTTTCACAACAATGAAAAATAAATGTTGAAACAAACTTAAGACACAGTATCAGTTCCTTTCGTTTATTCCATTATAAACCCTGTATGTTCTCTATAAAGAGTTACGGTGTTGTTCTGTGCAGGATTGTCTCTTGTGATGGTGTCTACGAAAACCGCCGTAATATGTGGCTTTCAAAATAGCTTGTATGTTCAGACTGAAGTTTCAAATGCAAACTAAGCATTTATCAAACATTTCCCGCATCAAACTCAATAATGGTGTTGTCATAACTTCAAAAAATCCCAATAATGAGTTTGGTCCCAATAATGCGTTAACAAGCCTTGGTATTTTTCCAGCACAGCGTTCCAACCAGGCGCGACACATCAAATTTTCAGCGACAACGTATTTTTATGCTGAATCACAGTCAATCAAAACATGATCGTCGTATATTAAATGTTAAATACAAATATTTAAAACAAGTTCAATTTTGAACCAATGAGATTTCATTGTGGGCGGAGCCTGATTAGTCACATCTGAATAGTACGCGGTGCATCTCGAAAGTTACCAGCCAAACATGTGAGCTACAAAATATATCAAACTGGCATTTGTTCTACAGAAAGTAATGTAAAAGTGAACGGTGCAAACAGTGCAAAAGCCATTTTCTACATGGTAACTACAATAGTACAAAATACGGGAAAACAATTGCTAATTTTTTTCTCCCTACTCAAACATGATCACAGAGCATGTGGATTTTTTTTTCTTGTGATTAGTGACTGGAGTAACATTTTTACAACAGGTTTCTTCAGTCAAGTTTCTATGTTGGTGACGTGTGCATCACTAGAATCATGATTGTTTAGTGTCACTTCAAACTAAATTTATCATCATATATGAAATAGCCATTGTCTCATCTTTTTTCCTTTTAAATGGTGTTCAGTAGCACCTAATGAAAACCACAGCTTAAAACACAGCATTTTATGCTTCAAACTGTCTACTGCATGCATGGGGTGGTTTCACAGTGCTGTACAGCACAACACAGGTTCAGAGAGATATCGAAGAACTCAGCCAGACACATCAGCCCAACAAGAAACAACCATATATATATACCCTGTTTACTGGTACTGTAGCTCTTTAGCTACCAGATGATGCTAGTTCTGTTAAATATGGGGCTAACTACAGGGCTAACAAGTGACAGAAGTATTTCACTTGTATCAAAATGCTTAGCCTAACACTATCCTATCCTAAAGTGTTGCTTGAGGTGTTACCTTTATTTCAAGAGTTAAGGAAAGAGTTTGATTCCCTGGCCTAGTCTTATCTTGACTACCCCTTTGAAAAGACCAGCATAGTTGGTTGTGCTATGCATACTGGTAGCAGTGTCCCAAGAAAACTACTCAACCAGCTTAAGCAGCAAGTCTTCTTTGGTCATCCAGCATCACTAGAAAGACCATGCTGGGCCCATCAGTTGGACCAGCACCTAACGAGCCTGCATAAGCATGGGAATTCATGCTAGGAAGCTGGTCTTTTCAGAAGGGTATCATGGCTAATGGCACCTGTTTGCTGTTAATGTTCAACTGAGCGCTTCTGTCTGGCTGAGTTCTTGTCGTGTGACTCTCCCTACTCAAACATGATCACAGAGCATGTGGATTTTTTTTTCTTGTGATTAGTGACTGGAGTAACATTTTTACAACATTTAAACAAACACTTCAACGAGATAAAAGAAAGGTCATGTTTTCACAACACCAGCACTCACAAGCACCATGTACAACATTGACACTCACGAACGGAAAAACAACAGGCACTTCGCACAAAACCACAGCACAATAAACCACAAACGAAACAACGGCTGAACCACTACAGCTTCTCTTGATTACTGTGCTACATCTACGCTGAATTAATTCTCAGTCACAACTCGAAGAGAAGTACTAATCCACAACAAACGCACAGCACGCGCTCACACACGCACTAAATACAGTACTATCAGGTGGGGGATGTGGCTTTATGGTTGACACACATAGTGGTTGGTACACCATGGTTCATTACACACACTGACTCGGTCAGTTGTCTGCTTCGGTTGCCGCGCTGGGTCTCTAAAAAAACACGAAGAGAAAACAACAACAACAAGGAAAATCATATTAATACACCAAACGAACGGCACAGAAACATGGGGGAGGGGGGCGGATGGAGAAGGCTGGCGGGATTGTTGTCCTTCGAACCGTGCAAGCAAACAGGGTGATATGTGTCAAGCAGGTTCTCCTTTACAGGCTCATGGTAAAATCAGGGTTTACCATGCATTCTCCCATGCTGCATTCATTCAGATCCGGTGTAAATCTACAGGTTATTGTTAATACGATTAACTCATCAGGTCATGCTGTGATTTCATTTGAAGAGAAAAAGGGCTTTCAGTAAAACCTCAGAGCAGCCTTCAACTCTAAACAAAGACTCTCTGCCAAGGTTTGCTTCAGAATAAATATGGTTCTTAAAGTAGGTATAGGGACAGATAGCTGAGGTATGTGTATGTATGTGGTGTGTTTGCGCAGATTAGTTTTGGTTAGTGTTGCCCTGTCATGTACTTGTTATGCTCATGGCTAGCCAGTTGACAATGACTGATTGCCAAGTCAACTGCATCATCCTCCATGCATTTTATGCTTCAAACTGTCTACTGCATGCATGGGGTGGTTTCACAGTGCTGTACAGCACAACACAGGTTCAGAGAGATATCGAAGAACTCAGCCAGACACATCAGCCCAACAAGAAACAACCATATATATACCCT